GCCAGGGATCAAACTTGGCTCCATCACATGCAAGGCAAGCATCCTTCCTGCCACTCCACTCTGACCCAATAACTCAGAGAATTCTGCCTATATTATCTTTAATGTATTGTATGGATTCTGCTCTAATTTTTGGTAAAGGTAAAGGTAAAGGTAAAGGCCCTCCCGTTGATCGTCGATTTGCTCGAGCGGGTCCAGTAACGTCTCCATTGGAGACTTTGTTGTTACTGTGTCTGGCATATCGAATACTCTCGGTAGCTTGCCGGGCTCTCCGAGAGGGACGGAGGAATCGAACTCGGGTCGGCCATGTTGGCCGCTTGTAAGGCGAACGCCCTACCCGCTGTGCTTTGAATTAACTTTTGTGTATAGTATGGATTTTTTTCTTTGCATCTGGACATGCATTTTTCACAGCACTATTTGTTGAAGAGGCTCTCCTTGTTCCACTTCATGTATCTAGTTCCTTTGTCATAAATTGTCCATGTAGCTGAACAAATTTATTTTTGTTCTGGGGCCATATTGTATTATCACCCCAGCCCCAGCAGTATTTTTTCCTTGGGGTTAATGTGACTGGGCCATACTTGGTGATGCATTGGGATTATTCCCAACTATGGGCTTGACAGCCAATTCAAATGGTGCTCAGGGGACTAAATGGTACTGAGGATCAAATCTAGGTTGGCTATGTGCAAGGTCTATACTATCTCTCTGACTCAAAAAAATCTTAATTTTAAAAGACTGAAATAATGCAAAGTATATTTTCTGGTCACAATGAAATAAAACTGTAGCACAGTAGCACTGTCCTCCCGTTGTTCATCGATTTGCTCGAGCGGGTCCAGTAATGTCTCCATTGTGAGACTTGCTGTTACTGTGTTTGGCATATTGATTACATCACAGATAGCTTTCCAGGCTTTGCTGTTTGGGAGAGATACTCTCAGTAGCTTGCAGGGGTCTCAAAGAGGGGCGGAGAAATCGAACTCGGTCAGCCAGGTCAGCCGCATCCAAGGCACATGCCCTACCAGCTGTGCTATTGCTCCAGTCCGTGGTGTCTAATAGTAGAGTTGAGATGTTGTCTTCTATTCTCTTAATATTACTGAGTTGAGGAGTGTGGAATCCAGAATGTGATCACCCTTCATTGTTAGTCATCAGAGCTGCTGTTATTGCCTGCTGAGAAATAAAACTAAAAATGAATAATAGAAGGAAAAATAGAAAATTTATAGTGACTCTGTTTGTTTTTGGGTCACACTCCTGGCTTTGTGATCCTTATAACTCCTAGGAGCGATAGCACAGCGGGTAGGGCGTTTGCCTTGCATGCAGCCCGACCTGGATTCGATTCCTCCACCCCTCTCGGAGAGTCCGGCAAGATACCAAGAGTATTCTGCCAGCATGGCAAAGCCTGGCAAGCTACCCATGACATATTCGATATGCCAAACACAGTAACAAGTCTCACAATGGAGATGTTACTGGGCCCGCTCGAGCAAATCGATGAAAAACGGGAGGACAGTGCTACAGTGCTATAACTCCTAGAGGTGCTAGAGGTACAAGGATTAAATCCAGGTTAGACTTTAGCCATGTGCAAGGCCAGTGCTTTACCTGCTGTACTCTCTCTGGCCCCAAAGTATACTTCACATTTGCTAAGTCATTGCAGATAAGAATTTATAAGGAATTACAATTAGGAAAGAGAAAAGTAATACAAAGCCCAGTAACAGACCTAAGTACACAGTGTAGATTTACAATAAATATCTGAAGAACAGTAGAGAAAGTATGGTCAATTACAGCACACAAAAGGAGAGAGAAAACAAAAGGGAATGACCTGCCACAAGGGTGGGGGGATGGGGTATAGGGGGTGGGAGAGATACTGGGAGCATTGGAGGTGGAGAATGGGCACTGGTGGAGGGACGGGTACTCAATCATTGTATAACTGAAACCCAAGCACAAAAATTTGTATGTCTACAACTGCACCTCATGGTGTTTCACTAACAAAAATTTAAAAAAAAATTAAAAAAAAGAAAGTATGGTCAATTAATAATGGTACAACTGGATAGCCAAGCAGCAAAAATAAAAATTGGTCATTATTTATCATATATAAATTTAATCTGTATCAATATAATGAAAGTCCAGAAATAATAAATGGAAGATAATCCCCACATACCGTATGTCATCTTAAGAAAAAATGGGGGAAATACTGATATTTAACTATAATTTTGTGGGGTGTTGGAACACACTTATCCGTGCTCATGATTTGTTTTTGCGGAGGGGGGTGTCACACCTGGCAATGCTCAGTGGTTACTCCTGGCTCTGCACTCAATAGTTACTTCTGGTGGTTCTTAGGGCACTGTATGGGATGCTGGGAATTGAAACTGGGCTGTGTGCAAGACAACCCCTCTCCCCACTGTGTAGGGTAACAATGGTATGCCCATTCTCCCATTCTCCTCTGCCACAGGGAGCTTAGGTTTTTAGGGTGATACCCATCACAGTGCTCCCGAAGTACCTCCATTCCTCTGTGTTAATTGGAATGTAGCTCTAACCATTTTAGGAAGATATTGGTATGTCCTGTTTCCTTGCCACAAGGAACTCAGGTTTATCACAGTACTCCTGAGGCACTTCCATTCCAATGTGTTTATCCGTAACCACCTTTTTATGCTCTCTTCCCCAACCAGTTAATCAGCTTTCCCCCCTAATCAGACTCTGTTAATTTGTAAGATGAGATCCTTCTAGGACACTGAACTTGTAAGTTAATATTGCCTTTCTCCTCTCCTTATGTCTTTTGAATAGTTTACTTTAATGCAACGTCCCTTTTGTATAGGTACAGGAAGACAGTTAATATTATGCTTTTGTAGCTTGGGATTTAATTGGCTTTGAATATTATTCACTCCCAGGCATCTGCTGTCTCAACTTAAGCCTCAGTTGCCTTCAGTTCCTTAGCACCCCAGAAGCAGGGTCCTGACGAGGGACTGAATGGAGCCAGGGCAAGCTGTGAGCTACCATGGCATCGAAATGGGCCAGGCCAAAGTGCCACGATTCTTAACTATAAGAGCTTGATCATGGACAAATGCTGTCATGATCCAAAAGTAATAACGAGACTAGGACCCTGTTAGGGATAGGAAAGACTAATCTGGCCTGAGAACTAGAGTCTGAGATTGAGTTAACCCCAGGAGAGCAATTCTATAAGATTAATGCATCTCTTACTGTGTCCATACAAAATGATTAATATTATGAATGCTTATATGTTTGTTGGACAAGATGAGGAGAAACACACCCATGGGATTCTGCTGCTGGGTGGGTCATCCTACTGAGAGAGCATCTGTCCTAGAAGCATCCCTTGAGGGAAAGAACTTTACCCCTATTGATTGTGACCACACCTATGTGTAAGCCCCAATGCCTCATGGCGGGGGGAATGGGATTTAACTGGACTGTAATGGTGGATTGGGGGATCCAGATTCCAGAAGGAGGAGGAGAAAGGGGATCCAGATTCCAGGGCCAGAAGGAGAATAAAGAGGGATCAAGGAGGAGAATGAAGTAGCATGGGGGAGGAAGATGCGGGAGGAGAATCAGAGGAGAATGGAAAGCGGAATAAAATGCAACTGACACCAACCAACTTGGCCCGAGTTCCTTCATCTGCCCATCGCCATCGACCTCCCTGGGGTGGAGGAAGAGGCATGAGACTACTGAGTGTGGGCAGCGGGAGAGATAGACTGCTGCTGTATTTTTGTGTTTACGCATCTGGCGTCCCTGTCTTTTTGTGTTTACACACCACTGTACTATTGCTCCAGCCCCAGTGTGCCCATGATTTACTCCTGGCACTGTACTCAGGGATCACCCTTGGTGGAGTACCTTACCAGCTGTCCCAGCTCTCTGGCTCTATCTATAAATTTAAGTGATATTTAAAATTAAGACTACTGCATGTTTTTACCACCTCTTTTTAATACCCTAACTAGGTCTCTATTTCAAAAGACTTGAATCAATAAAGTTTTTTTCCTATTAATATACTACACCAGCGTCTACGCCTCCCCTTTCCCTTCCCATTGTTGCTGCTGTTCTTAATGGCAAGCGTCATACAAGTAGACTTGGTTGTGGTGCTTGCACTCTTGGTTGTGGTGCTCACTGAGCATCCCACATCTCACTGTGTTGCTCACACGCCCTGGCTGTGCTCCAGTGAATGTACACTCTGTCCTGGTGCTGTGGTCCCTCACAGCCAAGCTTCCAGGACCTCGCTCTGTGCATGAGGCACACTCATGGCCTCACTTGCAAGGCAGGTGCTTTTAGCCACCCAGTGATGCACAGGGGTTACTCCTGGCTCTACACTCAGGAATTACTCCTGGCAGTGCTCAGGGGGACCATATGGATGCCGCGAATCAAACCTGGGTCGGCCAAGTGGAAGACAAACACCCTACCCGCTATGCTATCGGTCTAGCCACTAAAATTAAATTTTACCCTTTAAGGTTTGGTTAAAACAAAAAACAAAGATATAGAGAAATAGAGGCTGGGGACGTAACTCAAAGGGCTGGAGCACAGGTTTGGCACATATAAAGGCCCAAGTTCAACCTCCTGCACTGCCTGCCCCCTGAACACCACTGGGTAAAGCCCTAGTGCTTCCCAGTGTTGTTAGAGTCACGCAGCACATATCTCCTTGAAAAGCTGCTTCTAATGCCAGCTTGAGCACGACCAGGGGTGGTCCCTGGGCACTGATTGGGAGCCTCCCTCTCAAAAAAAGGAGGAGTAGGAGATGGAGCAATAGTACAGCGGGTAGAGCATTTGCTTTGCACGTGACCCGGGTTCAATTCCCAGCATCCCATATGGTTCCCCGAGCACTGCCAGGAGTAATTCCTGCGTGCAGAGCCAGGAGTAACCCCTGAGAATCACTAGGTATGATCCAAAAAGCAAAAAAAAAAAGGAGTAGAGAATATTTAATGTACTTTATTATTCAGAGATGAAACTGTTACAGTCAACTAAATGCCTAGTGCTTAGAATGGGCTCCCTCCATATTACTTCGGTAAAATGCACTTCTTACTCTTAGAATCCTTGACCCTCGGTTGGGCAGTTTTTAGGATAACACACACATGAAGAAGACTGATGCCAAATTTGAGGCTCTACATAGCTATTCTGATAATTTGACTTCTCTGTGCATTTGGGTTGAGGGGGCTCCAGCTCAGGCTGATGTCCTGGAAACCAGTGAGATTCTCGTATATATCCTGAAGAAAGAGAAAGGAGAGGAGCAGTCAATGGACAGCAGGAGTCTTAGTAATAAATATCATACTTATTTTTGAGGGAATGGACAGTGAATCTTTCAAAAATGAGAAAAGAGGTCCCGAGGGATAGCTCACAGGGCTATCGAGGCCCAGGTTCAATCTTTAGCACTGCATGATCCCTCAGCGCGTCTGAGAATCATTCTGGGAGGAGTTCATGAGAACCACGAGGTGTAGCTCAAAACCCCCCAAATGAGAAAAAATTAAAAAGTTTACTAACTTACACAATTGTTTGTTTGTTCTAGGCTCTGAGGAATGAATTAGGAATGAAAAAAGAAAAGTCAACCTACTATGGGTTGGAATTGGAACTTGGCTGTTGTAGCTTGCACCATATGTTGTTTCAAAGTAGTGTCCAAACTAGAAAGCAAAAGTTGTAGGTAAAAGGAGTTTATAGCTTTTGTACAATGACATGGATTCGACCAGATTCTATCTTATTTACAATTGACTATCGGCCTATATGACATTAGCCCAGCATTTCCCAAAGCTCGCCACTTGAACAATAGTGGGGGGTAGGGGGAGCAATCTCAGGTGCAGTAATACTTTGCTTACAGAGATGGGTTTCCAATGGGTTGCTGAGTGATTTCTTTTCTGAAAAGGGGTTGGTAGACCAAATAAGATCAGGAACCTCTGCATAAGGCTATATCTTATATATCTATATCTTCATTTCTTTTATAGGTTTATTTATTTAGGAGAGATTTTAGGGAAAGATGCAGATAAATGACAAGTCAAGGTATGCAAGAACCATGGGTAAAGTTAGTCTGATAAATTTCATAAAATCATATATAATTGGGCTGGAGCGATAGCACAGTGGTAGGGCATTTGCCTTGCACGCAGCCGACCCGGCCGAGCGGGGTTCGATTCCTCCACCCCTCTCGGAAAGCCCGGCAAGCTACCGAGAGTATCTTGCCCGCACAGCCTGGCAAGCTACCTGTGACGTATTCTATATGCCAAACACAGTAACAAGTCTCACAATGTTACTGGGCCTGCTCGAGCAAATCGATGAACAACGGGAGGACAGTGCTACAAGGACAGTGCATATATAATTAGAAGCTTTACTTCTATAGACAAATGAAGTCCACAAAGAACAAAGAGAAAGTGGTGCCCACCATTTTCTATCTTAAGATAATGGTAATATTCAACTTAATAGTAAAGTAGGTTAGTTCCCAGTCATCTCACTCAACTAAAGCCTGAGAGATCTCAGAATTGGAAGTTATTGAATTCTTTGAAGTTGTCAGAGGCCTGCCTCTCAAATGGTCACAGGTATTTATTGCTAACGAGAGAAACTGAGACAGGAAAGATTACCTGGGAAGGCAAAGGTTTGGGTTGGATGATGTACTTTATGTCAAATCTCTCCTGGTTCCAGTTGCCCATTAGGGTACGAATCGAATAAGCATCTTCATTAGTGCTGCATCTCCAGCCATACTGAAAAAACTTGGATATATCATTCCAATCTGTCCATACTTCAGCATGACCATCTGCATTAATGAGGCTGCCATAGTGAGGCTTTGCAAGGCAGCAGATGAGGGACTGCTTCTGGGGGAAAAGTGAGAAGAGAACAGCTTGTTGCTCAAACCAGAGAGCAGAAAAGTATCACTTCCTTTTCCTCGACTAAACAAAAGCACAACTTACTAAGGATCAAGCTTTTCATTCAACTTAATTCTTTTATTTGTTTTGTTTTGTTTTTGGGCCACACTCAGATGTGTTCAGGGATTACTCCTGGTTTTGTGCTCAGGGATCATTCCTAGAGGGATTAAGGGACCATATGCTGGGGATTGAACCTGAATAGGCCTGGTGTGCAAGGTAAGTGACCTTCTCACTGTATTATCTCCCCAACCCTCTCAACTAAATTCTTGTAGTTCCATTTCTTTATCTCCAGGTCCATGAATCCTTTGTCCTATGCTTTATGTCAAAGTAGTGAATGATTCTTATAAATGGCTCCCTACCCTCAAAGAAGATAGATAAACCTTCAGCACCCTTAATACTATATGGAGGGCTGGAGCAATAGTATAGTGGGTAGGGCATTTGCCTTGCAGATGGCCGACCCGGGTTCAATCCCCAGCATCCCATATGGTCCCCAGCATCACCAGGAGTAATTCCTGAGTTCAAAGCCAGGAGTAACTCCTGTGCATCATCAGGTGTGACCCAAAAAGAAAAAAATACTATATGGGGGCTGGAGTGATAGTACAGCGGGTAGGGCATTTGCCTTGCACGTGGCCGACCCGGGTTCGATTCCCAGCATCCCATATGGTCTCCTGAGCACCTCCAGGAGTAATTCCTGAGTGCAAAGCCAGGAGTAACCCCTGTGAATTGGCTGCGTATGACCCAAAAAGCAAAACATAAACAAAAACAAAAAAAAAACCAACTAGAAAGAGAACTAATCCTCACTCATTATAATGTGGGAGCTTATAAGAACTAAGAGTTTTGCTTTATAATCAATGAGATTAGTGGCTAACTAGATGAACCAATAAATGATCATAAATGATACTTTCCTTCCATATAGACTCAGCTCAAACGGCACTTCTTCCATGATGCTTTCTAGGTTTTTTCTCTCCTTGCTTTTTTTCCTTTTGGGTCACGCCTGGTGATGCACAGGGGTTACTCCTGGCTCTGCACTCAGGAATTACTCCTAGCAGTGCTCAGGGGACCATATGGGATGATGGGAGTTGAACCAGGGTCAGTTGCATGCAAGACAAACACCCTACCCGCTGTGCTATAGCTCCAGCCCATTCTCTCTCCTTTTATCTCTCAGAACTTTTATCTTCATATATTTCTATATTAATAACTTTTAACAGTATGCTGAGTCCTTCAAATGTGTGTCAAATGCTCTATATTACACTGTACATTCCCTGGATCTATGTCTTATTCATTATCTCGCTCTCTTTCTACCTGCTCTATTAAAAGTGCTTTGCACATACCAGATAACCAAAGTCTGAATTTCCATTTTTTTTAGTAAGGAATCAAAAGCCTAAACATTTAAATTTTTGGCCCAAAGACAAATTCAGTCTCTTAGGAGAAAAGCAATACCTTTTTCGAAGAAGAGTAATTTGATTCTGAGTAGCAGGGGTCGTTTTCACCTCTTTCTGGAGAACAGGAACAGCAATCATTATTCAGTGGATCCATGTTCTTAAAAATAAAAAAAGTCACCAAATCTGGCTTTCCCAATTCTCCAAGCTAAGAAAGGATGTTCATCATCCAGGTAGTTGGGATGATTTGGGAGTCATCACCCATCCTGTTTTGGCAAGGATAAAGCCAACACTGTAGCTATAAAAGGTAACTGCCCTAATACCATGAGTCTTTTTGAAGACAGATGAAAGCACTGATGCAACAAACAGCATGATGACTCCATCATCTGGTCCTATAAAACCTCACAGCCCAGTGTTTGAGGCTGCAAACCAAGGACCATATGCCCTAGAACTGTAAGGACAGGTACCAGCATCCTCCCACTTATCCAAAGCCTCAAACCTAGGGTCATCTTTGATTCTGTCTTTGAATGTCCACATTTGTCCACTCACTAGGTCTTGCTGGTTTTTGTGTCAGTTCAGTCCCCTGTCTCCCCACTATCAATTCAGATCTCAACTGACCAGTCCCATGACCATATTAGCCTCCATATCATCTTTCCAGCAGATTTACTCTTTTCAAATCATTTCTCCATAGAAACACAGAAGTATTCTTCTTTTTTTTTTGTGGACGGTGTGTGTGTGGGGGGTCGGACACTAGTGGAACTCAGGTTCTATTCCTGGTCCTGTGCTCAGAAGTGACCACTAGCAGTGTGCAGAAGACTGTGATGCCATGGGACTCAAACCAAGGGCTGCCTAGTGCAAAGCTAGCATTTTAACTCTTGTACTATCTCTTTGGCCCCAGGAAATTAGTATATACAATTTTTTTTTGCATCACACCTGGCTCTGCACTCGGGAGTTAGTATATTTTATTTCTCCTTTTCTTTTCCACACCAAACTATACTCAGGGTTTACCCCTGACTTCGTGCTAGAGGGTGGTATGTGGTGCCAGGGAAATGAGTCAACTGCGTGCATGACAAAAACATTTTTCTGGCTCTGAGAACTTTTGCAAACAAACATCTGAAGATGTCATCTTTCTATTGTAATACTTCCTGGTGCTGGCTACTTTCCAAATTAAGATTCAATCTGTTCCACTGGTGTGTGTTGGTCTCTCTGACCTTGGCTCTTGCTTAAACGACTTCACTTTCCCTCCAACTCCAGTTCAGCCGAACTCAACCATTGTTTCTACAGGAGTTGACGCTCTCCCAATTCCTTCCGCCTCTTAACTTTTCTCGAGCCTTGCAAGCTGGTCTTCCGCCCAACCCCCTTAGCTCTCCACCCCAGCTGGCTCCGCTTGGAGCAGCTTCCCCTGGGAGCACGGCCGCACGGTACACGCTTGGGATGGAACAAAGAATTGTGAAAACGACTCTCTTTAAAAAATAAACAAAAACTTGGGCTGGAGTGATAGCACAGCGGGTAGGGCGTTTGCCTTGCACGCGGCCGAACCGGGTTCGATTCCCAGCATCCTATATGGTCCCCTGAGCATTGCCAGAAGTGATTCCTGAGTGCAAAGCCAGGAGTAACACCTCAGCATCGCCAGGTGTGACCCGAAAAGGAAAAAAAAAAAAACCACCAAAACTGATCCTGGGTGATGCTGTGCAGTTCCTCTCGCCTCAGCCCCGCCCCGTTGGGCACTGAGACGCAGACTCCCTTTCCTCCTGCCCCTCCTACTCCGGGGACCTCCCTTGAACTTCGGGCGCGAATGACGGGGTCGGTCAGGGAGGCTCGAGGGCTCAAGGTTCCTTCCTGGTGTGCGGGGGTCGGGGAGAGGGTCCCAAGCAGCGCCCAGGGGCCCGGGTCATTCCCGGGGATGCTCGGGCAGGCGGCCCGGACTAGGCGCTGCTGCTCGGGCGGACGTTGCTGGGGGCTACCAGGACCACCCAGCAGTGCTCTGGCGCCTCCAGGGTTACAAATAGCGGTTTGGGGGCGCAGGATGGGTGACTCGGGGTGTCCCAGGCCCTTATTTAGACACTGGGGTGGGGTGGGGGAGACGAGGCGGCGAGAGGCGAAGCCAGCCCCAGCATCTCCCTTCCGCCCGGAAGTCGCTGTTCCCCCTTTGTCGGCGCCGGCCCGGAGACAGGAAGTGACGTCATCCGCGAGCGCCGCCGAGACCGCGCGCGGGCGCCGAGTTGAGGGAGTCATGGCCCCGCGGCGCCTCCTGTTGGTCGGCGAAGGGAACTTCTCCTTCGCCGCCGCCCTGAGCAAAACTCTGGACCCGAGCATTCGGATCACTGCCACCTGCTTCCAGTGCTCCTCCGAACTGGCCGGCGACCCGGTGGCCCAAGAGAACCTGCAGTGCCTGCGAGAGCGAGGTAGCCAGGCCGTCAGCAAAGCCCCGCCCAGCCGCCGCCGCCGCCCCAGCGAGAAGGGCGGGGCGTTGGGGGGATGCTCGGCCGGTGGGCGTGGCTTGTTCCCGCTGCGGGACCTGGACCGAGACAGCCCCCCTCCCCGCCACGTTGCAGCCTGGGTGGATGCCGCACGGTTCAGGCTAGGGAGGGGCTTCCCGACTCTTCACCCCCCCCTCGTGTCCCCGTTTCGTGCCAGGTGCGGACGTACGTTTTGGTGTGGATTGCACCCAGTTGGCAGATGCCTTTGAAACGCACGACCGGGAGTTCGATCGAATTTATTTTAACTTTCCGCACTGCGGACGCAAAGCGGGAATAGCCGAGAACAGGAAACTCCTGGCCAAGTTTTTCCAGAGGTGAGGAAAGGAGAGCACGCACAAGTAACATGCGTTGAGATGCACATTAGCAGAGTTCACAGCGCTCCAAACGTGTGCCTGGGAAATAAGACAGACAGTCATGTTGGAGCTCCGAGGAAATCAGACATACAGCCCTAAAGGCTGACCAGAAATACAGTCTGCTCTTAGGCGTGTAAAGGGAGGATCGCCTCTCTCTGATAGTATAAAATAACTGTAGCCGGTGTGCAGTGTTTCTCAACTCTTTTCTGACCTTGGCCCTTCTTCCAACCTTTTCTTTCTGTGGAGACTCTGTCCTCTGGGTTGACCCCCTAGTCTCGTGCTGTGGTCCTCATTTATGGGAATTTTTCACCTATGCCCTTTTGGAATATCCTGTGGTCCATCGGGTCCCCTATAACCCCTGGTTGAGAAATGCTGGTCTCAGGGGCAAGAGCATGAATGTAGGCGCCAAACTGCTTGGATTCAAATCCCAATGCATCATTGAATGGTGTGATTTAGGTAAGTTCACTTAATCCTTAGGTGCTTTTGCTTTCTTCTCTGTAAGCTGAGGATATTAACAATATCTCAAAAAAATTGTTGTGAACCTAAAAGATGCTTTTATGTTATTACACCAATGCATATCATCTTTGAGGTCGGTGTGCATGAGTATTATCAAGAAATATTTCACAAGTGAAATATCTTAGTGATTTTAGTGTTTGAAGGACAAGATTGTAATTGTTAGAGGGAACAAGAAGAAAGGGAAACGAGCCTGATCAGTGAATCAGGTATAGGAACTTTTTATGACATAGATGGACAATGCAAATGTAAAACTAAATAACACCCCAGTCAGCCATTAAAGCCAGCTCCAAGTTGAATATTGACATTCTTCTTTACTTCCAGCTACTTTCCTTGCATGCTTGAAGTCTAAATAGACCTTTGGAAAGAGGCATGATTGGACGTCAATGATTTCACAGCCAAATTATGCAGATATAACTAACCTAGTGGTAATTTCTACTTTTTTCTAATAAACGGCTGGTGTCCACCCCCCAGCTCTGCAGATGTTCTTGCAGAGGAAGGAGAAGTCCATGTGGCATTGTGTAGAGGACAAGGTGGGACTCCTGCTGATAAGCCAACAAGAGAATGGAATAACAGTTGGCAAGTAGTTGGCATGGCAGCTCTGGGGGGATTCATTTTAAGTGACGTGCATCCCTTCATCTGTGAGTCTGTGCCAGGGTACAAGTGCACTGGATATCGGTGAGTCCTAACATAGATGTAAGTCTTCACCCTTTCCATCCCAAGAATACAAATACTTGTATTCTTCAATAATGACAGGTATCTATTTTTGCCAGGAGTCAGAATAAGACCTTTAATTTAGAAGGTGCTTTGAACCATGTCTTTACCCGGAGCTTACCCTTTGAAGGTTCACAGCCCAGAATCTTCAGGATCAAACTGGGTGATCAGTGGTTTTCCTTTCCAGAACCAGAAGCACTTATAGGAAAGTTGAGCAGGTAACCCATTACTTGACCAGAAATCATTTCCCTTCTGTAGTCCTTAGCCTGATTGGCTTGATGGCAGCCATATGTTGAATGGCCACTTTGTAACTTGTTAATGGTGATTGTACTGTGAAAATCAGTCTGGCTCAACAAGTCACTTTAGCATTAAAGTTGTCATAGTTCTGGGATATTGTTGAGATGGTAGCTATCAAATTTCTGACATATATGATAGCTATCTTTTATTTTTTATTTGGGGGAATGGCATTTGGGCCACAACTGCTGTGGTCGGGTTGTTCTGGCCCTGTGCTACTGCTGGTAGTCCTGGGGAGGACCATACGTGATGTGGGGAACTATATATGGTGGTGCCATATATAGATTTGATCTAGGGTGTGCAGGATGCAAGGAGAGCCTTTACCCTATAACTGTCTTTTCAGTCCAGATGGTTCTCTTTACAGTGGATCATTTAATTAGAATTAATTAACGTTACATTAGAATTATCATTTTAAGTTAAAAAATGTATTTTTTGTCTTTGTATTTAAATAGGGATTTTCTGGAAGCACCTTTTAGCCATCCTGTCAAAACCATAAATGAGAAACTCATTGCTGAGTTGGGCAAGGTTTTCCCTGTCAAGAGGCTGAAGTGTTCCTACCCTTTGCTGCCACTGGGAGGCAGTGCTTTCACTTCCTGGAACTGTGACAGCCTGTCAGAGGCCTTTTGGATTAATCTCCGTGAAGACACCTCAAATTCAGAGTTTCAAAACGTTGGAACAGCACCAGACACAAAGGATTTCCTGGTGTCATTTTCAGAACTTAACCTCCTCAGAACTCCTGAGAGAGACTCTAGGGAAAAAGTACAGGAAGGACTTTCTGGTCAAGCCAGGGTCTGCCTTAGACCTTCGCTCCTAATTCACCTTCAGGCTGTCATCCAAGCACCAGACTTTCTCCCAGGTTCTCTGCATATCCTCAGCGGACCTGTCTTTCGGAAGTGCTATATTTTGCCTTTCACAATGCCAGCATTTCATGAGACTTTACTTATCCTGGGGTTAAATGAAGACCTAAAGGATGGCTGTTTTCAGTCACTACTACATCACTTGAAGAACATTCTAAGTGACCTTCTGACACAGACAGGCCTGGAGGGATCTAAACCACGTAATTCAGTGGAATTTACCTTTCAAGCAAATGGGGAAGATGTTATGATTAATGTGAAATCTGAGAATTTTGGCACAGATGGTGCCAAGGATCTAAATATTGGATCTGTGATCAAAGCGGCTGCCGGTAGTATGCGCAAAGACCAGGGTTTTGTGTTTGTATCTATGAACTTGGACCTATTAGCCATGCTTGCCTGGGGAATCTCAGACTGGAGGATATTATGGACCTTTGATAGCCGTTTCTTGAAGAATTTTGTCCCTGGGAAAATAGAACCTTTCCAAAGCTATTCCCTATATCCTCCTACCTACGTGCATGATATAAGTTTTTGGTTAGATGAGAAGAAAGAATTTGATGAACTTGAATTTCACACTGTGGCCCGAGCAGTGTCCCAGGACACTGTCATCTCTGTACAATTCCTTAGTCGATTTCAGCATCCAGAGACTGGACGGGTTAGTCTCTGCTATAGAATGACTTACCAGACTTGTGACAAAGCCCTCACCAAACAGCAGGTAATGTCAATGCAGTCCCAGTTTAGGAAAACAATTGAACAACTACTAAATGTGATACCCCGGTAGCTCAATAAATTTATTTTGACTGTGTGATCCTTATTGGGGTGAGAGTTGATAAAAACTACCAATTTATGGGGCTGGGAGATGAATTAAAAAGGCTGGAATGCAAGCTTATCATGTGACATAAGGTTTGATTCCAGGCATCCCATTGTCTCTGCCAGGAGTCCATGGCTAGGGTGGGCTATGGCCCCCACAAAACAACAACAAAAGGCCTAATCAATTTGTGATCAAATTGATCACAAATCAATTCTTTCTGGGTTTAAACAATCTTTTACTTTGGGACTAACTGCTGTTGAGTGACGCCAAAGATATTGGTGACTGTCACTTAATGTTATAGACGTGGTTGGTGACCTTTAAAGTATGTGATGTTCTGATCCTGTATAATTACAGGGAAAATAGATGAAACAAACAGAAGCTCTGTTGTTGAGGCAGTAGAATGTTGTTTTCTCGTATCTATATGACATTTCCCACACTGTCAGTTCCTCTTGAGTTAAATCTCATCTGAGCTAACTTGTGAGTCAAGTAGTGAGTTGTCTTATCTCACTGAATCAATTGGCAACAGTGGGATTTGGAATCAGAGCAACATGGGAAAACTGATCAGCTCGGCACAGTGTGGGATGAAATACTCTAATGTGAATGAATGTATCTTCCTGACAAGATAGGTTACAGAAGTTAGAGTTGTATCATGAACTACTGGAAGGAATTTAACTGCCATATTTCCTTTATTTGGAGAAAAGCATGTATAAAGGCAAGACGGAAGCAAAGGAACACATTTGTAGGTTATTATGGTTATGTAAAGGAGATAATGGCGGCCCGGACCAGACTGGTAAGAAGTTGGATTGGGTAATATTTACAAGGACTTTTGTGGGTGAGACCTGGGAGAAACAAAAGGAGGTATCAAGCTGGACCCAGGATTTTTTATAAGCCTCTGGCAGAAAAGAAGTGACATTAACTGGAATCAGAAAACTGGCATAGGAGTAGGTTTGGGGTTAAGGAATTTCTCACCTGAACTGGTTAAGATTCCCAGTACTACTATTGTTCCCGGAGTCCTGCTTGGAGAGTTGCCCAAACACAGAACCCAGGAGTAATTCCTGAGTACTGCCCGGTATAGCTCAAAACCAAAAACCATCTACTTTTGGTAACTAGTCAGTGCTTGTGCAAATGAATGGCTTGATTAATTCTCTGCCTCTTTTTTTTTTTTTTGTGCTCCAACTTTGGAGCCTCAGTTTCCTTCTCCATGAAACAAGATTGTATATTAAATTCAAAAGGGATAAAATACATAGAATTCCTATATAATACTGTAGTAGCAAGGCAGTAATGTGGTGGATGTGCACAAAATTTCAGTTTTTTTCATTCCATTTCTGCCATGAGGGCATTGTCTCAAGGTAACTACAGATTATCTCATTGAAAAATAGAGAGCCCAGTGAGCTGAGGCCATCCCCTTTGGTAGGCGTCTCTGTGTGTGGTGGGGATCAAATCCAGGTCTCATGCATGCCAGGTCTCAAGTACTTTGCCACTAGGCCGCATACCTGGAAAGCTGCGATCTTTTAACTGCCTCTAAGAACTAATTTGGTGGAGCTGTTCAATCACTTTATATTTGTACTTTTAAAATAAGGGCGTGTGGACTGGAGAGATAGTACAGTGGGTAGGATGCTTGCTTTGCACATGCTGACCCAGGTTCAACCGTCAGCATCCCATATGGCCCCCCAGGCAACACAGGGAGTGATTACCGAGTGCAAAGCCAGGAGCATTGTAGTGTGACTCCAAAGCTAAAGTTAAATGAATGAAACAAGGGAATGACATGGGCCACCTGACACTTCCAAGTTTCATAGTACTGTCAGTCCCATAGGGTCACTAATTCTGATGGGAAAGCTGTGTAGAGGCCCACCAAGCTCAGTGAGCAAGAACAGTAACATAAAAGGTTCACCTAGCACCAGCCAGCCCAGTAAATCCACAACGACTGCAGTAACACTATTGAGATATAACAATGATCACACATTCGCTTCTATTGATAATTCCAGTTCCCTTTGAGTTGTAACAAATATGAAGTAAAAAAAAAATTTGTGCCTGTTAAGGGGGCATATTGGAGTGGTGGGTTGGAAACTGGGGACATTGGTGGAGGGAGGGTCACACTGGTGGTGGGATGGTGTTGGAACATTGACTATCTGAAAAAACTTATGAGCAACTTTGTAAAATCACAGTGTTATAATAAGGGTTTTTATTTTTTTTTAAAATAAGGGAGTGCTGGAGAGCACAGAGATTAACAGGTACCTGCCTTGCAAGTGGCACACCCTGGTTCAATCCCCAGCACTGTATGGCATGGTGCCCCAACACATAGCGGGAGTAACCCCCAGCATCAATGGTTGTAGCCCTCGGATACAGTAAGTCCTAAAAATAGATAGGACTGGAGAGTACAGCGGGCAGGGTCCTTGCACCGGACCTGGGTTCTATTCCTGGTACCCCAGACGGTCCCATGAGCACTCCAGGAGTAGGTCCTGGGCGCTGATAGATATGGCCCTCAAACCAGAAAAGATGGAGAAAAAAAAAGGGGGGGGAAGTGGTCGATTATTGTCAATGGAGAATGCTGGAAAGCGGAAAGAATGCCCAGATCGAGAGAAAGAAGCGGAAGCTTCCAGACGAAAGTCCTAAGTCCCAACCTACCCAGGGATGAACCCCAATTGGCCCGGGAGCGCCCCAGTTAGGCGTTTCTGCGCATGTCAAGGTCTCTTGTCCCTCCGCGGACACCGTCGCCCGCCTCAGCAATGTCTGCGCGCTCGCCGCCTTCGCTTGGAGCCGGGTTCTAGCCCCTCGCCCGCACCCTGGCCATGGTGAACCGAGGAGCTCGGCAGCGCCCGAAGGGCAGCAAGGGCGGCGCGGGCAGGGCTGGCAGCGGCGGGGACCCGGCCTGCGCCGCGAAAAGGCGTCGGGAGCTGCCGTGCGGCCCGAAGGTGCAGGGCGCCGAGCCGCGGAGCGAGTACGTGTGCTTGCCGGGCGGGGCGTGGCCGGCGGCGGGGCGCGGGTGACCCTCGGGGTCGCGCCACCCGCCAGGGCCTGACCTCTGGGGTTGACCCCTCACCCCGGGCCTTCGGGATCCCCCCCCACCCCGCCCCGGGCGGACCCACGAGCGGGACTTCGCCCCGCATTAGAGACCCGCGCCCGGGCTCCCGGTTCCCACCGGGGGAAACCCGGACAGCGCGGGTCGGGGTCGCGAGGTTTCTGTCCCCGACCGCGCTGGCCGGAGCCGAGGGGGTCTTCTTCCTTCTCCCGCACCTTCGCTCCCCACGGCAGCCTTCGTCGCGCCCCCAGAGCGACCCTTTCCCGCTCTGTGTGCGCCCCACCACGTCCACCTGCAGCCGAGTCTGGTCCCTCCAGCCCGGGAGGGGGCAGGAAGGAGCTGTCAGGGCAGGGGGCCGTGGTGGTCGGGAGGCTTGTTCGAGGCTTCTGCTTAGGGTGGGGGGCACCGAGAGCAGTTGGGAGGGGAAGAAAGACCAGGAGAACGGGAGAGATTGACGGGAGAGATAAAGGAGCGGCGTCCGAGGCAAAGAACTAAAGTGAAAAGCACTTGAAAAGCAGGAAGTGGAAGCCGGGGGATGAAAGTCTCGCTCCTTTTCGATTCTGCCTAGAATCGAGCATGGTTCACCCACTTTCGGAGAATAACTTCGGTATTTTGATGCATTGCTTGGTCTTTCCAATCTAGGGCTCCTCCCCCACCACCCCTACCCCCTCCCCTCACCCTGGTTAGTCAACAGATCCTCCTGACATGCATGGTTCTCTTTTTGTTTGTTTGTTTGTTTGTTTTCCTTCTTTGCAGGTTACCTGGGAACAAAGCAGGGCAAGTGTGGGCACCTGAAGGATCCACTGCTTTCAAATGCCTGCTCTCTGCAAGGCTGTGTGCCGCTCTCCTAAGCAACATCTCTGACTGTGATGAAATATTCAACTACTGGGAACCAGTAGGTGGTTTCTTTAGTTTTCTGGTTGTTTTGTTTGTTTTGTTTTGTTTTGTTTTGTTTGGGGGCTACACCTCACGGTGCTCTTGCTTCTGACTCTGTGCTCAGGGCTGACTCCTGGTGGTGCTGCTGAGGGGGACCATGCAGGAGATCCAACTGCACTGAAGTGTGGCAGGCAAACACCTTACCTGCTGTACTAGCTCTCCAATACTGTTTTTTGATTTTTTAAAAAAAAAATTTTGACCACACCTGATGGTGTTCTGTGCTCAAGAATCCCTCCTTGGGCATGGTGGACCAGGATTTAACTGGAGTCAGCCATGTTCAAGGCAAGTTCCCTGCCTGCTGTATTATCTCTCTGGCACCTCCTGTCCTGTTTTTTTTTCCCCCTTTTGCAAATTACAACTGTACCTGTTGTACTATCTCTCCAGCCCCCGCCCCCCAGGAAAATTTCTTAACACATTTAAGCAAACATTCATTTTTCGTTTCATCATCCTGTTATTCGTTGATTGCCTCGAGCAGGCCCCAGTAACGTCTCTTTCATCCTAGCCCTGAGATTATATTCAAGGCTCTTTAGGAGAATGAGACCCATCATTGTTACTGGTATTTGGCATATTGGGTACGCCACGGGGAGTTTGCCAGACTCTGCCCTGTGGGCAGGCTACATTCGGTAGCCTGCAAGTTTGTCCAAAGTAGGAATGAGATAATAAGATGTCATAAAAGGATGTCCTGATAAGATGTCCGCAGCTGCGAATGCGGGACTTGGATTTTTTAGTCTCTGAGTCTTGGCCGTTGATGGGATTACACGGCACCAGGGGGCCAGGTGGTGGGTGTGACCCCCGCCTACTGGAATTTGGAGGATCTGGGTGGAGGATGCTCGACTCCAATCCGAGTAGGCTGGGAGATCTCGGCCCCGGAACCCGCGTGGATCTGTCCCTCTGCCAGTACCTTCATGTGTGCGGAGAGTGGTCTCAGCATGGTGATGGCTGGTCCTGGAGGTCTTCGGCTGGGGCGGCGAGGAAAGCTCAACCCCCTCCCCTCCAAGGGGCCCCGGTGAGGAACAGCCAGGCGCGGGGGCAGGAGACTT